AAATAGATAAATGACAACAACAAATTTGTTTTTTTAGCCATTTAATATAATAGAATTAATAATATATTTAATTTTATTAATTTTTATTTTTTTTTACAAAATATTATTATAATATTATTCTAAGAATTTTAATTACAATTTGATTTTTTATTAATATTATATTATTATATTTATAATAATAATTATAATATATAAAAAATCATTATTTTTATTAAATATTTAATGATTTATTTCAACAATTGATATAATATAAATATAGTAAATATATAATATCATATATATAATATCATAAAACAACAATTTTTTAGTTAAAAAATACCAAAATGTATTAAAAAATATAATAAATGTAATACAACTATTTTAAAAAATCAAACACACACTTTTCTTCTGAGTGTTTTTTTTATCTTTGTTTTTGTTTGGAGCAAAACTTTTTGTTTTGCCCTTTTTATCATTACAAATTTCATGAACACCCATTTCGTCGAAATTTAAAGGTGGGTCTCCTTTTTGTGTCAATAAATATTCTTTAATTTCTCGATTGAAAAAATCAAAGCACTTTTGTGAATCAGAAGCATCTACTGTTATTAAGGATACTCCATACTTTTTAGTATATATCTCATATTTATTAACACCTGTTTTCTTTTCCATCTGTTTGTTCTTCAATGTACTTGAGGTGTGAAAGCCAACTAATTTAACAACAACATCTTTTTCGGCATTCATTTCAATTTCTTTCATCCATCCATCAACCATGTCATCACTCTCATATAAATTGTAAAAGACATAAACCCGTTTAATACCTCTCAAAAATGATGTGGTCGTTTTCTTAACATTTTTTGCTTCTACAAATTAATATTAATTATTATATACAACATATAATAATATGTTGCTTAAACTATTACAGTTTACAGTGTAATAGTGCGTGTAATATTTATATAAATTACAATGATATAATTTATCATTGTAATTAAATGATAAATTACTTTAATTTATTAGAGTAAACACACCATTTTATTAAAATTGATATTTTTATATTTGTATTACAAAATTAATTCTGTTTTTGTAAATTAGTAATTGAATAACAAAAGATATGTACTACAATTAATATAATAATGCACAATGTTGTGTATATTTATATTATTTATTTAATATTTTGTGTGATTTAATTTATTAACAAATTTTCACTTTTAAATCTAATATGACATGTTATTAATTATATCAATTTTTTTAAAATATATATATATGTAATAT